CTACTACTACTACTACTACTACTACTACTATTACTTCTACGACCACTACTACTACTACTACTACTACTACTACTAGTGCTACTACTACTGCTACTACTACTACTACTACTACTACTACTACTACCACCATTGCATACCATTGCACCACAGCTACTGCTGCCGCTGCCGCTACCACTGCCACAGCCACTGCCCACTACCACCACCATGCGCCCTATCGGCGAGAACACAGCCAAGCTCCCACAGACGAAAAGATATGCCCGGCATCGACAGCGCGATATCAGCACGCGCTCACTAGCAGGTCCCGATTCACATGTTGCCATCCAGGCACTCATTTTGACAAACTGATCTCGGGAAGTGTTCTCCGACTGTTGGAGCATGCTTGGCATGGAAGGCGCTCCACAGCAAAGCTAGCGGTGAGCACCGCATGGGCCCTAGCCAGAGGGCATGTGCCTGCTGCTTGTGCCAGCATTGCTGAACAGTCAAGGCTGGCCGCATGAAAGCAGAACGACACTGTCGTTAAATAGCTTGCACTTAAACGGTGCAGCAAGCAAGTGTGCAGTGTGGCAATCGCCAGTTTCCGCATGTAGTTGAAGACATTTCAGGGCCCGGCCGCGCCAAGCCTGAAATCTTATCATGACCACGAAGTGGCAGCCCTAGTGTCTTCCAGATGTGTGCTGTCGAATCCTGGTCGGGTAGCATCGACTTGAGCCGTTGTGACACTTGGACGCACTCTGCTGATCTAGGCTTCGGCTTTGACGCTGTACAGATGGTGTCCACCTCAAAGGTCGTTGGGGGACTCTATATACCATTGGTGTCGTTCTGACTCCCCTGCTCTTCAACCACTAAGGCCAGCGAAGGCCAGAGGAGGGACCTCAATGGACTCGCATCCTTATCCGCGTTGTGGCCAGCGTACGCACTGGAGCAAGCTTGGCCGTTTATAAGGCCGAGGATGTGTCAGAATAGTGCAGGGCTCGTCGTCCAACTTGTTCGGCGCGGTGACCTGGAGTAGTTACAGAAGTGGGCAAGAGTTGAGTAGACTGAGTAGACGTTGGGAGCGCCAAGCTTCCATTTAAGAGCTGAAGAGGACGGCCATGGCTTGCCAGAGTTACAAACGAATTCATTCCGAGTGGCGCTCAGAGGGCGTTCGGATTGGAAAAGCCTGGGAGGGCAGCAAGGTCACAACCTGAATGTTGGGGTCAGGGGTTCGTCATACGGATTTGGGTCTCACGACTGAAGCTCTTTTGTACAGCATCATGTTCCCCAATTGCCCTGCAACATTTGTGTGACCGTGAGCGCTGCACCGAACTTTGCGGTGTCCGGGCAAGACCAATCAGTTCCAACTGCGGAAACCTTGACCGCTGCATCGTGCCCTTTTCTTCTGCCATGACCATGTCTGTGACAACACTTCGCCATGCATAAGTTGCATTGTTTATGTTTTGCCCATGTCGGGGGTGTGTCGTGGCACCGTGGCAGAGCAAAAAGTGCACATGCCATGTGGTGATTTAATTGTCGGCTGAGCGATGGACGATAAGAAGACCAATGAAGACCATAAGTTCACCAACTTTGAGGAGGGTTTAGCTGGTTTTGAATCCAGGGAAGCGTTTGTTCTCTCTGTCTCCATCTCACCTGTTTCCAGAAGTTTGCGTGAAAATCTGGCAGGTCAGATCCGACCAAGCTTCGTCAAATACGGATTGCACAAGTCATTCGAACGAACCCTTTTTCAGCGAAGCCTTGCCCATATGGGACAATCTTGATGGCTTGATTTGGGTCGTGCATCGGGGGATCTTTAGGACCTCGGATCCACATCACTTGTCCTAAAAGGAGGCATCGAATTGTCCCATGGATTCCGCTTTCGCAAGCCGAGTGCAGTCTTTTGCATTCACTTTGACCATGGGCTAAGGTTCGAATTCGATCCATGCACCGCTGAAGTTACATGCGCTGTGGAAAAGGCGGTGCGCAGGTTATGTCCCACTACTTTGGCTTTATCCGAGTGCATTGCCTACCGGTTTCGAACGAACGACCCTCATGTTTTGCCCCACCTGCATGGGTTAGATAGGTCCCAGACGAAACGGCCAATAGAGAGAGCATCAGAGAGGGCGCCTTGGGGCTTGGAATCGCTATTTGTGCTGAGAATTTCGCACCGGTTTTGGGTTGTGCATGACATGCACTTAGGACGGTTGAGGGGCTCTGATCTTTGCGTTGGTGTAAGCCATGGGCTTCGTCGATGACTACTGCGGAGGCTATGACAACCTGGCATTGCATGGAGGGGATCTTCAAGCAGCCTACGAGTCACAGCTTGACGGGTTGAGTCTCGGAGCTTTCCATGATGACGTGGGCTTCTCGGATTCGGAATGCTGGCTTGACGGTCTCGGAGCGGGTGGCTCCGATTTTGAGTTCGATGAGGAGGAAGAGGAGGAGACCGACGACGAGGACGGCAACGGCGATGCTTCTGAAGGTTCGGATCCCAAGCAACAACCTTTGACGACCGTGAGCCTGCAGCGTGGCAGCGGTCACCTGGACTACTTCGGGGATGATTACGGTGCAATAGCTGCATTCTTGCTGGGATGCAAGGCTACGGCTCCACATGGAAGAGTTCCTAGGCGTCGGCTGCGTGAAAATGGGGCGAGCGTCCTCGAGCTCGAGATAGACTCGGGTGAGCAAAGCATCTTCTCTTTCGGGGGTATCGAGCGGATATTTCCCAATCTGAAGCAACTGCTCTACAAGACGACCGATTGCCTCCGCGTGGTCTACGACCTGAGGGGCTTCGCTTTGTGCAACAACTTAAAGAGCTTAAAGCTCCAGCTGTCTTTCCAGACGATGTGTGAAGATGCTTCATCGAAGTGTGGGCTCACAGCTCTGCGGTCGTTGGCGGGAACACTGGAAGTGCTAGAAATCGGCCGCTTGCGCTTCAATCTGGCTTCGGATTTGGAGGTCCTCAAGGACTTCCACCAGCTTAGGGTGCTCAAGTATGAGGGCATCAACGAGGTCAGCGAGGGCTGCCGGTCCGTGCTGGACCTCCGCAAGTTGACACTCTTGCAAGAGCTAGGGTTTGTTGAGGCTTCTTTCACGACCGAGGCGTTGGGTTCTGGATCTGTCGACGAGGAGACCTCGGATGATGAGGGATTTAGGTATTGCACGAGGCCGTCTCTGCAAGTGCTCATCCCACCGGAACATCTTGGCAGCATCACTTTCAAGCATCAGTACGGCTCTCGGATCACTCCCGAACTACGTCAGATGCTCCGAAGATGCGGGTGTTTGTGTCAGGAGTTCGTGCCGCAGCAGATGGCTGGAAGTGGCACTTTGAACTTCGTTGATGGCTTCAAGGCTCAGACCGGCGAGGAAATCGAGTCTGCAGAGCAGGCAGCGAAAGAGAAGCACAGACTTCTGAAAGAGCGGCAAAAGCAGCAAGAGCAAGAAAAGCTCACAGCTGCCTTGGCGAAGATCGGATTGGCATCCTCTCGCGATGGCCCGTTCGAGGTGGGTGAGGAGGTGTACGTTTTTGACCATTACGATCTATCTTTCAGTCGGTTCTCCGTAGAGTCACCGACGAAGCGGACCACGAGCTGGGTCAGTGTCACCCAGAAACTGCCGGCGAGCCGGGGCTCAACGGCTGGGGTCTATCACAAAGTTGTCCACCCGAGCTGCGTGTTTCGAGAGCTTCCTGACCTGCCAAACTTGCAGCTGTGCAGCGGCCGCGGCTTCAATAGAAATCAGGTCTGGAGGCAACGTCCTCCGAAACGCCGCCATTGCGATGAGGACCCCTCAGCCTCTCGTGCATGTGAGCTCTGTGGCAAGCAACTGAGGAACATGAATGGCTTATGGCAGCACATGAGGGACAAGCACCCGCTCGCTTGATGCAAATACAGATTTCGATAGCTGCCTGACAAGACCCGGAACCAAAAGACAGGGATTACCCGAATTTCGGACAAACTTTCCTAAATGAAGTCATCATAAAAAATCCGCTATCTCTTTTGAATATATAGGGGTATTTTATTTTTTGGAAGGAACTATATATATATAATAACTTTATATGGGGATGATAATATGAGAGCTTCAAATATATATTTATAGGTTCTGGAGATTTTGATCGAAGTCGAAGAATCTTAATTAGAAATTTCTCGAATAAAAATATTATATTCTTTATAATTTATAGTATCTGATATTTTTAGATCTAGATAATTGTAAATTAATTCTTACTTGGGATATCAAGATAAATTAAATTTCGAAAGTTATATATCTATAAGAATATTGGTAGATTTCATTTTAATGTTGAATATATAATTTGAAATTTTTAATTTAAAATCTATTCTATAAAATGCTACGATTTGAACCTATATAATATAGTATATTTCGGAATATTTAGGTTTCGAAATTATGGAGAAATTTATAGACTACGGCGCGGGAATTGAGTTGGTTTATCTAGGATTCAAAACTTCAAGAAAATTTAGTACAGATTGCATTCTTCGGGGATCTTGGGCTAGGCCTAATTTTCCGAATATTCGGAAAATTTGGGATCTGAATAGGTCTACGCCTCGATCTCGAAATTTGCGAAACAAAAATTAATTATAATCTGTCGACGTTTTGTAAAAATTTAAATATTCAAAATTTAAGGAAAATTTAGAGAATGAATACAGCCTTCTAATATCTTATGCTATATAGTGGTATGGCTTGCATACGAAAATTCAGTATCTATCTGTCTATCTATTTCTCTCTTTCTCTTTCTTTATCCTTCTCTATCTCTCTCTCTCTATCTCTCTCTCTATCTCTCTTTCTCTCTCTCTCTCTATTTCTCTCTCTCTCTCTATCTATCTCTCTATATCTCTATCTATTTATCTCTCTGATATAATTTCTCGTATTCATATTCGGGCCTTGGCTGGCACTTGCTCCGCTCCGGCCAGGGGTACTGTGAAGGGTAGCTATTCACGCACAATGTAGTTTATCGTGAGATGCTCTCAATTTGATGGTTGTCGTTAGCTCCTATGCAGCCAGCTTATAGCCAACGACGAATTGTATATATAGATATTGCATTTTTATATCACTACTGCCTCTCCCTGGCAATATAAAAGACCTCACGTCCTCTTTATAATTCTGCCCTCGGACTTCGGATGACATCCTGGATGAAATTTGTCGCAAGGTGCTGTCACTTCAAGTTTGGCTTCACCTTTGGGATGGATACCATAAAAACCGAAATAAATAATTATAGATTTCCTCTGGCGCCATGAATCGACCTTCCGTGGCTGACTTTGACGTCGAAAATTTATATATAAGAAATCGATATCAACTTATCCGTAGCTGCACCGCTTCACAAGATTTGCACCTTCGCGCTGAGACCTGGCGCTCTGAATTTTCTACAAATTTTCAGACTTGGATTGTCGTTACCGGAATACTGCCAAGCTGTATGTTCCACTTGAGCACCGCTGCTGGAAGCAGCGGGTCAGCTCGAATTCTTTCTTATATCTTAAATTTAGAAGCCTGATAATAAAAAATAAGATTTTTAATTTTATATTATGAGACGAGACGATATTTGGAAAATTCTTATATTAATATAAAAGATTATTAAATATATAATAAATCTGAAGATTTGATATATAAAAAAAAAGCTTCAAGATTAAAAATATGAAATCGCTGGCATATTATAAGATATATTGCCCCCCCATTGAATAAGATAAGAATTTCTTGCTATTTTATACGAATTTTAAGAATATATCGAGAGCATGAATATAGATATTCCGAGATAATATAATTCTCAAGATAGAGAGACTTCATCTAAAAGAAAGCAGTCAAAGCTCATGAGCGATTCATAGAGATTACGCACGTGCGCCCAAGATTGGCACGGAATATATATAAGATTCTCGCATATTTTATAATATACGATATAGCAAATTCAATTCATATCACGTATTTCTGGATTAATTATATAGGATGCTCAATCCACCAGTAATATACCACGTCTATTATATGGGCAGGAGACCAAGAGAGATTTAATTAATATCTCCGCCTTGGAAGCTGTCTTTATTATATATTGCTTATCTATAAATCTGATATATTTAGCAAGTAGTTGATAAGAGAGCGCTTATATCTTTATCTATAGAATCTAGCAAATATATATAGATTATTAATTATATTATTTATTTTAATAAAATAATAATCGGATTATATCCGATAATTGAAATCAAAAATTCTGAAGATAACTATGAATTCGTGCAACGATCATAGAGATCTTGGAAATAATTAATGCTATCCTGATTGGAATTATAGATTCTGAAACCAGTCATAAATTTATGAAATATTTAGGGAGACCTATCTGATTTTCAATAATAAAAATCATTTTTCTCAGATTCTATATATATATCTTCTCCCCAATTCGTGCACACATGCTAATATATTTTTTTTTATAGATTATTGGTCGCGCCAATATATTAGAGCTGCCGCGGCTCAATCACCAATCCTTATGGAAAATTATATTCTATATTCAAAATATTTTATTTATATTTATCCAGGAATATTGAAAAGATCAAGAATCTATTTGAATCTATCGAGTTTTGGGAATGAATTAGCGGGCTTATATATAAAATCTCATATATATATATTTAATCTATTTGATTGAAATATGGCAAGACGTCATTATATAATATAGTTAATATCTGAAATAAAGATATTAATTTGAATTTGCTTGATATCTTGCCCAATAATAAAATATTTTCTTTACCAAAATCATCGACTAGAAGCATTCGATATCTCATAGGATTTAAGTATATTTCGGTCAATTATATAAGAACTATCATCTTATTTATATATGAAAAATATCATTTATAATATATATTCTATCATATCCCCGCTCTATATTATAAATATATATTCAAATATATCGATAAGAAATAATATTTTTCTCCAAAAGAGTCGACTTGCTATTGAAGCTCCTCAGAAAGAGATTATATAAAAAACTATTCATAGAATTTTTATTTATTTATCCCATCCCCAATCGCCTCCCGAAAAATTACCTAAGAGCCGAATTCTCAAGCCATAAATATAATATACCTTAGAATTTATTTTATTAAGCTTATAATTCATATTATTAAAATTCGCTTCAAAAAATCTTAATCATATTCATAATAAATAAATAAAAATTAGTGTAATCATATTTTCCGAAAAATTATCTCTATAATATTTAATTCGCAGATTTTCTCTATAATAAATAGTATTAGCCTTAGAAATATATGAAAATATTATTATTATTATCTTAATCGATCTTCTGTCGAAATAATAGAAATATATATATATAATTATTTCATGAAATATTTCTGGAATTATATAGTAGTAAAATTAAAAATCCTAGATTTTTCTATTTTTCTTTTTTCGATTTAAATCGTATTCAAAGCCTCGATAATAATAATAATATTTAGGTGAGAAATATACGGCCCGTTCTATATTATATATGGTCTCTATAAAAAGTGGCGATAAGTGTAATGTCAGGGTTGGAAGCGCCCGTTGTCTGCTCCTTTTAATAGCAGTAATCAAATTAGAAATTGAAAAATAAAAGAGTCATGTCAGTGCCAGTGGCTTAGTGGCAGTAAAGGAAGCGATGGCCATATTAAACCCTCTTTCTTAGGAAGGGCTCGGTAGAAAATGCCTTTCAAGCCAGCTGGAATCCGCCGATCGCCTGTTGTTTGATTCCGTTGCCGGGCTTCCGGGTACCACCAGTAGGTCGTCGAATTGACAGACAACTCCAGATTTGCGAGGCTGTCAATGCCCTCAATGCAGAAGCCATGGTAAACTGCTTCGAGGTCAACCATAGGCAGTGCTAGCAGCAAAGCCTTTACAATATCGCTGAAAGTTTTCGAGCAAACTTTTATTGCTAGGCCACTGGAGTTTCGGACCAAAGCGTTGGAATCGACCAGCCCCTCTCTCGTTACCCGAAGCTTGCAGCACCCATCAGGTCACGCCCTATGTAATATCAGTGTTCTGCGCACGTCAACAACAGCTGTGCTGTTGGGTTAGGAAGTGAAACATCGTCGAGACCCAGCCCGCAAAGGCCAGCCTGAGTGAAGTTCGCGCGGCACTAAACTTTGGCCGAACGCAGGAAGTAGACCGCTGACTAACTTGGAAATCGGGGCAATCCCATCGTCTTTATTGTCGTGGCTCTTGAGGACTTGTCGGATTTGGAATCAGTGGCCTACTGTGCTGACAGGGAGCCGTCTAAACCACTGCCCTCACTGCCGAGGTGGTTTTGTTGTCGATCCGCTTCTGCAGGGACAGAGCTGCAGTGGGGGCCGCATGTGAGCAGTCCCGGATCAACTGCACATGAGCTCCGACAAGCACACGATCTGTCGCTTGGGTCTCCTATGTCCAAGCGGCCTGGGCATCTGCTTGGAGCTCTTTCAGCTTCTTGAGCTCTGCCAGCCTCAGAGGAGAGGAGAGACAGCTAGAGAAGAGAGAGATTGAGGGAGAGAGAAAGAGAAAGATACTGCAGGAGAGAGAGACTGTTCGTGTATGCGTGTGTGTGTGTGTGTGCACGCGTGCAGGCGCACTCGTTCGACTATGGCCACATCCCCAGCACGACTTGCTGGAAGCAAGCTCTCTACAGTGCCACGGATTGACTCTGATTTAGCAAGACGGACCTGCAAGCACAGATTCGTGCGCTGTAGAAACACCAAGACATACTGCTCTCGTCGAGATTTTTCTGACAGCCGAAACAACCCGTGAGCGTCGAAAGGAAGCCTCAAGAGAAGGTCCCCCCCGAGGCCTTGAGCGCTCTCTTGTGCTACACTGAAATCTCAGGCACGTGCCTGACACCCATCGGGAGCTCTTCACCGAGTCTGGCATACTGCTCCTCCAGCCTCACCACGACGAAAGGACACAAGCAGTAGTGCCTTATCCAGAGAGAGCAGGGGGCTGCTTTGCCGTAGCTTGCCGGGTGCATACACCTGGCCTTTCAAGGTCAACATCTCATGTTAGGGGGCACGAGTGCCCAACCTGCCCAGGACCTCCTCTCTCTGGTTCTTCTCCTGTCATGCGTCGTGCTCAGCGTTGGAAGCCAGAGGCATAGCTACTTGTAACTCGCTTGAAACACGTACAAAGTTGATGTGGGCGGAATGGGATAGCCGCCTTCCCTCCCCAGGCCCCTGATCCTGCCCTCAGTCTCGGTATACTACAGTATCAAGCGACTGTGTGCAGTCTGGCTCAGTTTAGCCAGTGATATCCGCGCAATCCAGAGCCTCTAAACTCTAGACTGAAAGAAGCCTTTCCCATAGAGGCCTGAAGAATCAACATGCGGTCTTGGGGAATAATCTAGATGCGGTCTTGGGGAACGATAAGCTAACACCAGAATTGCCAATTGTTCAGACCCCTCGCATTACCCGGATCACAGGCCTGCAGCTGCTTCACCTGCGCTCCGGGCTTGTTGTTGATCTTCGGCTTCGGGATGCAGAGACATGAGTCTAAGGCTAAGGGTTCATACTGTCACAGGAGGGATGACACTTGAAAAGACAGATTACGCAGAGGGCCGCGTGTCGGATTCCTGATCGGATTGGCAGTTTTGGATGCGCCCACATATGTATATGTATGGTATACCTGAACACACACATACACATATACATGTGCATATATATATATAGAGGTACCTGTAGATATAGTAGTTGTTCACAGTCTCGAATGCCTTCTCTTTGTCGCCGACCCCCCGGGACATATTCTCATCCTGGCCTCGGGAGCCAAGGTTTGGGCACTTAGTCAAAGCGGGAGGAAAGACCCCGGGGCCCCGACGCTGCTGTGCTTTGGCAGCTGCCATCTTTCGGCGCTCTTCACGCTCGGCCTGCGGTGCAGGCGAAAAAAACACGGTGAACAATGTGCAGGGACAAGCGGTCTTAACTCGGCTGCCTCGCTGATGTCTTCTGAAGCTTCGGCATTTGAGCCTCGACTTGGAGATGCAGAGCTCTGGAAAAGGCCGGGAAGCCTCTAAGTCAACCCGTTTCAGTGTAGCCAGGTTTTCCTGCCAACATATGCATTGCCAAGCTGTCATTGCGTCTTGTTATTAAGACTGAGCCCAGCGCGGCATTAACAAATTCTACAAGCCGGAGTGGAACAGACGCATTCATTTTTTGTCATGGGCGCAGCGTCCTCATCAAAGCCGCAGCACGGCAGTGCGAGCCGCCCAAGCAAAGGTAGTCGCTGCCGACTCCGAACTTTTCACCTTTTCCACAAGGATTTGGAAACAAGGTTTAGGGTTTACGATTCAAGGTTCAGGGTGGCTTAGGGCTTAAGGTTGAAGGATCAGGGTGTCGCAGACAGCGACTCATTAGTCGCTGCTCTCTCCACTTCACGACACACGACTTTTCCAAGTATCGACGGCAGGATACATACACAATTGCCTGCTGCACGATTTCCACAACACAAGCTGCAATGCTCGCCGACAGCCGCACCCGACAGTACGAGTACTACCTGGGGCTCCTGCAGAAGGCCGTCTCGCATCGCAACCTAACACAGTTGCAACTTGGCAGAAGGCCGTCTCGCATCGCAACCTAACACAGTTGCAACTTG